ATTCTTGCAGAATGGTCTGTGGGACAAGAAGAGTGATTGACAACTGCAGAAATTACATCTGAGGTTTAGTCCTGCAGGAAAAGGGGATACAAATTGCCTGCAAATTATCCGCAAGTCCCTGATGAGCCTGAGGAGAAAATTTAAGAGGCTTCAGTTTTTCTTCAACAAACATGTTCACGTGTCTCCCTTTGCTAGAACACAAAAACACCCAAGAGAAAATGTCCCTGTAAAAAACACTACTTTTGTTTTTTATCCTTGTCAAATGTTATGATAGTAAATGTGTAAATGCCAATTAATAGCCTTTATCATGTGCCGATAGTGTTCTGTTATTCAGAACAGAAGTGGTATGTGAGCTCTGAATGGTGGTTTTATTGTCTAAAAGAGAGACTGGGTTTTGTGTTAAAAAAATACATGGCGTTAACTTTATAGGGTGCATAATGAAATAGCCTGTAAGGATTTGTATTGCTGACCTTAATAAATATACATCATTTGAGAAGAGTTAAATACAGTGAAATAATGGTGATAATAATAATGGTCAATATTTAGAAGTCTAAAGGGAACAGGTTATACTATGCTTCTAGCTAAGAGTACATGGAAATGTGATATCCTAGTGTTTGTACATACCTGGCTTACAATATTGGCCTTCTGAGGTATTAGGACAGTGCTACTTAGAATGTGATAGGCAAACTAGTGCTGTTCCTCAATTTTTTTCCTTGTCTTTACGTGATAAGCACAGAAATGGAGAATAACCATTTAGAAACTTTTATATCAATTTGACAGAGTAATTCTATGCCTATTGAATCACGTAATAACAAATTGGAGAGGGGCTTTCATTTCATATGTCTTTGTCTTTTTTAATTTCATTTTTTAATAATTCATTTTTTAGTCTTATTTTACAGAAATATTTGTCCATGAAAAATTGATGGAGAAAAACTTGGTGCTCAACACAGATAATTTGAGAAACACTAAAATATTGTAAAATACTAAAATAATTGATTAGATAAAATAAGCCTAAGGCCTCTCTAAGCCTTAGGTTTCTTGCCTTAAAAAAGAATTTAATAAATAATAGCACTTACCTCTTGACACTGGATCTGAGAATTAAGGGAAGACAGATGTATTTAAAATGCTTAGTACTGTACAGGTTCTTAGCATTACTGAGTAACAAAGAGGGGATTCCATCCTGAATTATGCAGATGAGGGACACAGTTTCTGTTTGTCACAGGCCTTCAGTCAATACTCCATCAACAAGTAACCTCTCTTTGGCATCAAGCCACCTGGCTAGACAGACCAGGAGCTCATTCACCATCAGTTTGCATGAAGCAACCACATTTGGCTTTTGGTCTTCCCTGACTATGCAGTGTAATTGCTCCACCATCATAGTGTGGAATGTCCTTCTGTATGTTCCTTAAGACATTAATTTGAGGAATTGCTGCAAGCCCCAACAAGCGAACTACTCTGCTCTTTATTGCTCACTAAGAGCTCAGATTATTTTGGGACCAGGACAAAATGACTTGTCATTCATGGGTGGCGAGCATGGAGATGTAAACTTTTGTTTCAAAAGATGCATCAGTTTGGGTGGTCCCTCACAGAGAGAAGAGAAAAATATGCAATCTATTCTAGTCGAAGAGGCCAAACAATATTTTCAAAAGTGTGCTTGGCTGAATGTCAGAACTGAAGGTTGACTGCCACTTCGACAAGCATTGGTGGTGGCCAAAGAAAGTAGCCAGCTATTTCAGAGCATAAATGCTTAACTGAGGATAATTCGACCGAAGAGTTTTTTCTTTTTTAATTATAGTACACTGCAATGGAGAACATGAAGCTTTATTGTCAGACTGACTTACATCCAAATCGTGGTTTTGCAGCTTAACTGGATCTGTCAGGCAAATCCTTCACTCTCTTTGAGTCTCAGTTTCCTAATTTATAAATTAGGGGCTAATGGGATAACGTTTGAGTATAATAAGTGTTTAAATAACATTAATTCCCTTTTTCTTTATTCAGTTAGTAAACTTCAATTATTTTTCTTTAGAATAATCAATAGGTTGATTATAACAAGATTGCATGAATAGAATCAGAATTTAAAATATAATAAAAAAAAACCCCTCAGCATTTAGTTTTAAAAACATGCATTGGATTTGGCAGACTTGGTGAACAACAGACTGTTTAAAAATGTGACTGACTTTTTCCAAGGTCAAGCATCTTCAACTCTTTTTCACTCTGCCTAGAACTCTTTGCTCCAGCCAGAATAACTTTCCCATGCGCGTGACTTGGCTCACTCTTATTTTTAGTCCTTTGTGTTTAGCACTCTTCTTGAAATGACCTTCTGACACCCTCCTGCCAAAACCCACACTCTTTTACAATTGTTCATCATTCATGTTGTCCAAGAACTGGCAGAGAGAAATCTGGTCAAGGGATTCACTCTACCAGCCCATCTTTCAGGGCTATAGGTTCTTCAAGAAAACTTCATTAGTCCTCACTTTAACACATTTTGTTGCTATGATTTCCTAAGCTTTTTTTGTGTTTGTAGATACTTTTCCCCTGTCAGAACTATAAAGTTCCATGTCTTGGGGTTATGCTGGGTACATTCAGGATTAGAGAGGCTTTCACTTGTTCAAGGGTACACTCTTTATAGCTGATTTTAAACATGTAGCCAGTTCTTTGGGTTTTTAGTTTGGTATTGTTTTCATTTCATGACCCTCCTTTAATTAATGGGCAAATAGTTGGTATTACTGACTGGCTGACTGAGAAACAGTGGGAGAACATCAGGCATGGAAAGGTAGCTCTCGAAGGAGTAAAGGCCGATGAGGGGCATGGAGTGTAATGCAAGAAATAAGGCAGAATAGAGGTAGGGAAAGGGAAGGGGGAAGGGGACCTTAAAGGAATAATTGGCTTACTCCAAGCACCTCAAATGAAAAGAAAATTTAAAAACACCTGAACAACAACAACAACACATTTCTGCTTTGCTTCTGTTTTGTGCTTAATAAACAACACTACTGTCACTGCCAAGAAAAACAGCAACATAACTGTGCTTTTCCCCTGGCACCAACTCGAAACAATCTACTGGATTTGGGTCAAAACTGTAAACTGCCAGCATGTTAAAAATAAAACCAGAAAAATAAACCTGGCCTTTTCCTTAAGGGTTGTAAGGGTGAATGCAGGGCAAGAGCCAGAGAGAAGAGTTACTATAAAAAATAACTAGTGCAAACATCCTTGAACTGATGTTTTCTATAAAAATCTGTTGGCTGTGAATTGGAAAGAGTGAAGTGGGAGGGAGAACGGAATGGGGGATCAAGTGGTGTCTGCTTATCGTCAGCTAGCTTTCATGTAAAAGTCATGGCAGGGTCAGCAACAAACTAGCCAGGTGGCAACTCCAGGCCATGCTGCCATAAATAAATAGTTATGTACTAATGTCACACAACCAGAGCTAGATGCAAAGCATATGGCAAGAAAACATTCTGATGTAAATATTCAGAACAAAAAAATCCCAAAAAACATGGTTTCTGAATTCAGGACTCTGATCCTGAATTCAGAAACTCTGGACTCTGAGACGCCTGGGAAAATAAAGTGGTGGAACTTTTTTAAACCTGAACTAAAAGATTCTTTGAAATGTATATTATTCCCGTTCAAAAACTCCTTAACCTTTGGCCTAAGAGAGTGTGACTATTTGGTGTAGTAATTAAGTATTATTGAGAGTTGGTAAGAGTACAGACTCTGGAACCAAATTTCAGCAGCTTAAACTTTACGCATGCTGCTTTACTTGTTCTCATGACCTCTGGGAAGTTACTTAACCTTTTCATGCCTCAATTTATTCATCCTATACGAAGGGAGGAAGAAGGTGATAATGGCGACTGTATCTGCCTTACAGGAAGTTATGAAGATTAAGTGAGTCAAAGTGTAGGGAGCCTGTTAGACAATAGCTGGTAAACGCCATGTTCATGTGACCTATCGTTACCAAATATCCTTACACAGGCTATTCATCTTACATAGACCATCTTCTGGACAATATGCTGAGGAATTCTTTACTTTCCTAGTTAAGCTTAACAACTGTGTCATGAATTAAAAATCAGTTTTACAGACAAAGGAACTGAGGCTTAGATGAATTAAGGAATTTATCCAAGGAGTTATATCTAAACTTCCAACCCAGGCCTTATTCCAGATTATTTTAAAAACAAACAAACAAAAAAACACACGTTCTTTAATAAACACTTTTTCTTTCATTTGTTTAAAATGTTAAAATTTGAACAGGAACACAGTAACATGGCCTTCTAAGAACCACTGATTTTTAAAAAGGGATTAAAGAAGGGGCCGATGTCCTGGAAATTGCCTAGGCTCACAGCACCAAGGAAAACGGATTTATGCATTCGCTCATTTTTCCAAATATTTATCGAGTGCCTACTATTTTCTAAAAGCTGGGGAATCAGAGAAAATTAAGAAATGATTTCAGTCCTTGAGCACCTAACTGGGGGGGTCAGGCTTGAGAGTGTTATTCTTTACGGCAGGATGTTTGAGGCTGTCGGATTTGTTTTCTGATTGGTTTCCCAACAGGAACAAAACGCCACACAGTCTGCATAAGCTTGGCAAGTGTTCTCTCTACAGAGATCCTGGGGTTTTTGCTCTCAGAGTGCGGAGAGACTTGAGGGACGGCCTACTTTCCTTGTAGGTCAGTCACCAATTGGAGCGGCTTTAAAACCCGCGCGTTTGAAAGCGTATTCAAATCGGGCGCCCTGACAGTGGCTTTCCGGGGCTCACGCTTAAGGATTCCGGGACACTTGTGTGTCCTTGCTGCCCTTTCAGTGAGCCAAGACTCCCTGGCTGTTGGCAACTGGGAGAGTATAAACGCCAGGAACCTCCCAAGTTGATCCCATGTAGTCGCAGCCGGGATACCTGCGGGCCATAGAGTTAAGCTCCACCTCTGCCGGAGACCGCTACTTCCTGATTGGTTTGCCCTTAACTGACATGGCGGCCGCTTGCCTTCGGCCGGACCCACTGCGGCTGCTCAGAAAGCCGAGGCCGGGCAAGGTTGTCTACAGACTGCCCCCCGCCGCCGCGGAGCAGCTGGGTGAAGCCCAGGCTGTGCAGCTAAGGGTGAAGGGGTCTAGGGGCAGGCCAAGGAAGTCGAGGACTTAGCGCTGTGGTCCTCTGTGCCCACCCCTCATTACCCGGCACCAGGGCTGCTCGAGCCAAGGGTGTTTTCTACTTGTCCCTGCCACCTCCCAGACTCTTGGCCCAACATGATACTGACTAAAGCCCAGTACGACGAGATAGCCCAGTGCCTAGTGTCTGTGCCTCCCACCAGGCAGAGCCTGAGGAAGCTGAAGCAGAGGTTCCCCAGGTAAGTGCCCATCTCTCCTCTCTCACAGCCCTTTGCCTGCATCAACTGTGCCTAGGCAGCCAAGCCAGCACTTAGGAACCACGTGTCCCACATGTCAAGTGTTAGGAGATCAAGGCTGGTGAAAGAGGTTTCGTCTTTCACCATCCTGCCCTCCTTAGGAGACTCTTAATGGATGAATCAATTAAATTCAAGGTGACAGTTGTTAATTGAAAACTTGGTATGTGCTAGAGATGGGTGCACATAATAGGTGCTCCATAAATGTCTAGTGATTGACAGATACTAGGGATAAATGGCAGGTGGCAGGGCCCTCTCAAAATGTAAATCCCAATTGTAGCTTCAAAAGGATAAAACGAGGGACCATTTTCAGGTGGCCCCTGGAAACAAACCAGGGAGCACAGGCCTAAAGGTGCCTCCTGTTTGATTATGGCTCTCTGACATACTTAAGTGATCTCATATGTTCTCAAGCCAGTCAGAGAAAGGTATCTTAGAGATTCCACTGTTGGCTCAAGGTTGGTCTTTTGAATAATCATATGTATACACGTTCAAGGTATATTTCATACTTCCCTCCTCCCCAAAACACATTTTTTCCTTATGATTTTAGGATTATCCAACTTTCCGAGAAAGGACTTTAGGAACTGTACACTACACATTTTCTCATTTTGAAGACGTGCAAACTGAGCCCAGACATTACACAAAGAACCAGTCCACGGCAAAAAGTTTATTATATTTGTGACATGTCAAAAGAGTAAAATGTTTGTTTACTTTTCTTAGATTTCAAAACCAAATTCAAATTTGTGTCATTTTGTTTGGTGGCACTGAGCACTGTTAGCCCGTAATAGAGAACTTTTCTGTCCTTGATGTGTAACCCTTCACAGACATCACCATAGAAGTTCTATCTTGAGGAAAGCGATATTATTGGATAATTAGTATGAATAAACTACAAATTAAAGTGTAAGTTGAAGGTCTTTTATGATCTCAGTTTTTTGAAGGACTCAATTTTCCTTGTCTGTAAAATGAAGGGATCTCTTTCTAATCCATATTTAATTTAAGGTACTATTTATCCCTTTATAGTCTAAGATTTTTATCAGACTTGCTAACCTGGAACAAAATTGACAAATTGGGATTTAATTATGTGTCTTTAACTCTTGCCAACTCTGCCGATGAGCAGTGAAATTGGGTGAAGGCTTGTCAGCTACGGGAATGGGTAGATTTTCCTGGACAGTTTTAAAATAGAACGTACATTTAGATATGCTTTTCTCATGTACTTATATTACAATTGCATTTTTGCTTTTCTTCCTTTACCTATCCCTCTACTCTTTCTCCCTCTCTCATGCTTTTTCTTTTTCCATGGCAAATACCTTGTCCTCTCCCTAAGAGATGACCTCGCTGCATTCTTATGGACTTAACATGTACACTTATGAAGCAGTCCCTTCGTTTGGGACACCATGCTGTCTTGCTTATTCTCTTATGCACCCCTTTTTCTTCTTCTTCTTCATGATATATCCAGATACTATTCACTTTTTCCAAATACCACTTATATCACAAACTCTTCTTCCACTGGAAATTATTTACAGAGGCTGCATTAATCTGCAAAAGAAGGAATTAGCCATTTAGTAGGATGGGTGGGGGATTCTATAAAAAGTGTGATTTCGGAGTTGGCTTCACAGTTTTTGCCATAACACTGTTTTACTTTAGAAGGTCCTTGCAAGGGATTTGAACAACCTTTAGATTTGATAGATCATTTTACCAGAGAGTTGGTTGTGTATGGACCCCAGAGATAATTTCTGGTAGTTCAAAGAGGTTAAGTGGCTTGTCAAAAATCCCAGAGATGTTTAATGGCCAAACAGTGTCTTGAATACAGGTTACATAATTTTTAGTTCAGAATTCTATACCAAGCTGCCTTCATTAGTTCAATATTAATAATAATAACAGCAATTATTTTTGGTGGCATTCACATAATTTCAGTTCTTAAAAAAATCAAAGTACTGAAATGTTTTAAAAAGTTGCTAAAAAATTTAATTTTGATTTTAAAAGTAGGACTTGCTCAATAAAGAACATAAAAATTATTTATACTTCTATAGCTCAGAAAATTTCTCTTAACTTTTTAGGTATTTTCTTCTCATCCTTTTTTCCCACTGCAATACTATATCTGCTAAAATACATTGTAGATTTTGCTTTTTTCACTTAACATATTGTGAATATTCTCATCTTCAAAAATCTTTCACAATGTGTTTTAAATAACCAATATCACATTATAGATGTACTATCCATTTTCTTATTGTTTGAAATCAGGAGTTTTGTATTTCTATTTTTTGATATTATTATTTGTACATATATAATACCAAGTCCATTTATTTTCTTACTTTAGAATCCCAGAAACTGGGAATGACCATATCAGCAATTTTCAGGCTTTTAGTCTGCAGACCTCTTTACATTCCCAAAAAATATTGAATCCCCAAAGTACTTTTGTTTATATGGGTTATGTCTGTGGATATTTACCGAAATATAAGTTAAAACTGACAGATCTAATACAATTACTTATTAATTTATTTAAAAATAAACCCATTACATGTTAACATGTTTTTGTTACATACTTGATTAATAAACATTACTTCAAAAAAGAAGTGAGAAAACGGCCTTGTTTTATACTTGTGCGATTTTTTTTTTAACATCTGCCTTAATAGAAGGAAGACATCTGCTTCTGCATTCAACCTGTTGTGATACGTTGTTTTGATTAAAGTATATGAGGGAACTCAGGCCTCAGACAAATATGCACTTGGAAAGGCGAGAGTAATTTAATAGGCTTTTCAGATAATTGTGGATATTTTTGTTGCTACATAAAACCCAACAAGTGGTATTTTCTTAAAGGTTAATTGCAGTGTGGAATGTGAAACCATATCTTGGCCCTTTCTACTTTGTTATATCAAAATCCATTGGCCTGTCATGCACTTTGAGTGAATCTTTTACCAATGCATGATTTTTATCATCATGCATTGTTCGCTTGCAAAATGTTGATTGTGAGTTATGTAAGTCTCCCAAATGTTGTCACATTTCATTATAGAGCAGCAAAAAAATCACATTTGTTATTATCCCCTTGATCTCATCAGAAAAATCTGTAAGATTTGAAGTTGTCAAGCTTATGGTGATGGATAAAGAGTTTTCTAATATTTGAATTTTCTCTTGAAAGCTCAAATTTTATCATTGGCAACAAATATTATCACTTGTTTTCTTTGAAGTGACAGGCTCACATTGTTTATTTTTGAGAAAATGTCTGCCAGATACACAAATCTGAATAATCATACTTTGTGCATCACTCATTCCAATAAAATGGTTTCATGGAAAAAGCAGCTAGTTCAGCTCTCCAACAATCATACAAGTGCTTTTGCTTGAGACAGCCGTCAGACTTCTATATGCAGACGTGCTTTGTGTTTGCTTCTTACTTGGTTGTGTAGAATGTTAAATGTGTCTTCAAGGGTTGAGTATTAATAGTGAATCTGAAGATATTCCTAAGTGACACTGGCTTGTTTCCCCTTCAAGTATGTGGTGGTGAAGAATGCAGTGATTCCTAGGCCAGCTGCGCTGGCCATGATTTGTATCCAGGAGATGGCAACTTGATCCACCATTGTTTTTGCACTATCATTGCACATGTCACATAGGGAAAAAAGCAAATCATGTCTTAACTATTTCTATAAAGATAACTTTGACTTTGTGGAGCTCTGAGAGAGTCTCGGGGACTCCAGGAGCTCATTGAGCACACTTTGACAACCACTACCTATTTTATGTCAAAAGATATTTATGTTTTGAAAGATTTTGATGTTTATTGATAGCTTACTACCAAAAAGATTGTATTAATCCTATTACCAACAGGGCACGGGAGTATTTCTCTCTGCAACTTTTGCCAACGTTGAAGAGAGAATCATCATTTAATCTTTAATATGATGGATCAAGAATGACATCTCCTAAGTTGCATTTTTTATTATAATACATTGTATGTTTTCTCAGTCGTTTATTGACCATTTGGTTTTCTTGTTCTTGAATTCCCTGCCTGGTGTCCTTTGCCTAACTTTGTACTGAAGTTTGCTGTTATTGTTTATTGATCTGCATACGTTAAGGATGTTTATCCTATGTCCATATTTGTTGCAGGTCTTTCCATTGTTTGCTTTTAATAATTGTTCTATTTTTGAAATGCTTAACTTTATATTTAAGTTTTTTCTCATTTTTCCTTTTATGCTGAGGAAGTCCTTTCATGTCCTATGATGTAAAAGATAACTCTTTCTCTTAAATTTTCTCCTAGGTTCTTTATGGCTTTCTTTCTTATTGTTAATTCTTTAATCTTTGTAGCTGAAATTTCTTTTAGCATATGCTCAGAGATAAAGATGTAGCGTAGTTTTGCCCCATCTTAATTTTTATTTTACACCGCGGCTTGCACACTCTCTAGCTTCATTCCTCCATCACTTCTTTGTTTTCACTGAAATTGCACGTTTGTCTTTTCAAGTCAGTACATTGAACCTGGGCAATCCCTGTAGCCACTCTGAGCTCAGAATCCTCCAAGTTAAAATGAAGGGACAGAAGAATTTTGTGATGTCTAATATCTTACAGGTCCTATATTCACCCTCTTTCTATTCTTTTCTGTTCTGCAGTTTTATAGTACTGGGTCCTTTAGCCCCAAGAGTATAGGACATACTGTATTTAAATACTTGCTGAAGACACATTCGTTGATTTGCGTCTCTGAAATTATTTCCTGGACCTTCTTATTCAGTTTTAAGCCCCCAGCCTAATCAGCTTACATTTCAGATTACATTTTACATTATATTTTATTGTCTAAATACTGCATATGTATATCTGTAGAAACTGTTCCTAGAGAAATCTCAAAAGGAATACTTAAAAACTTATTTGGCTGAGCTCTCTGTGCTTAAAACCAGTACACGTGGTTCATTTTCTTGAGCTTTTCACCTGTCTCTGCCCTTCTCTGTCTTTCTGGTATATAATTTTGAAATAAC